CAATGCTCTGCGTCTGTGGATTCTCGTGGGCTGTCGTCGCGTGAGCTTCTCGGACGCGACCTCGATGACGATTGCCTTGTGCACATTGCACGCGCTCTGCGTCATGTCCGCCATCCCACGGCGCTTCTGGTCTCGTTGGAAGGCACACAAGTGGGTGTCGACGGCTTCCGGTGCCTTCTCGACGCCCTTGCAACAAGCACATACGTATCCGTGCTCCTCGAAGTCAACGACGAGGCGCTGGCGCCACAGCGTGCCGAGGTGGACGCTCTCTTGGCCAAATACAAGGTGACATTTCGCGAGAGACTCGACGACTATCAGTATCTCCACAGTCCGCTGCATGTGGCACAAGGTCCTTCTTGAATAGTATACATCCAATGTCGTGGAGCTCAACGGGTGCGTTTGTGGGCTTGAACCTGGAGGAGCAGCCGCAGCACATCCGTGACCCGCACCACCCCTACCCTCGATCTTAGCCGCCGCGTGCCAGATACGTGTACCGATGATTTCGTGGCTGGTTGCTTGAACATAGAGGCGCGACGCGTTGCGCGCGTAGAGCTCCGAGACAGCTTTGGCCACGGAGCATGTCGATGGCACCGTCGGCAGTGGTTTGTTCTACCCCGTTGGTTTCGTGTCGAGTAGGAAATGCTTTTACACTACGAGTACCTTGAGCACATGGCCAATGGGGCGCAGCAAGTAGCCAAAGTTGGGCAGCGGTGTCGAGAGCGAAATGCTGGTCGGCATGACAACGCCGGCCTCCGTGCGGGGCGGCCAGTTTTCGACGAGCTCGAGGATATCGGTCCAGCTACCGACCAAGTGGAATCGTAATCTCCCGTCGCATGGCACGTCTACCCAAACGTCGAGTACGCGTCGTCCTTGCCGTCGTCGTTGAGCAGGAGGAGCCCCGAGAGGTTGCGTGCCCGGAGCAGCTGGAACGCCTCGAGCATGCTGCTCGACGGACGGCGCAGCGCCAACGGCTGAAACATAAGATCGCGGATCGGCCGATGGGCGGAGTCGCCTAGTCCATTGACAGCACCACTTGAAACAACCTGAACAACAAAGTCATAAAGTACCTAGGACCGAGACGTCTTCCAGTATGAATCGCAGCACGTCCCGAGGCGAGAGCACGCCAAGCACGTCGGCTGCATGCGTCGGATTCAGAACCATGGGTACGTACGTATCCCCTATGCAAGATATTTACATCGCAGACTGAGCCGAGAGCACGCTGCGTACGCGTTGCGAGTCGGTGAATCAAGTTGAAGGCAAAGTCATCGCTGCATATGGCGCGAGGTCCCGGCGCCGACTCGGTCGCTTCGTTGTGCAGGCGCAATACGTCGCGAAGCGCAAGCATCGCAAAGCGCCGGCCCGCGTCCACCGCGTAGCTCTCAAACTTGAGGACTTGCATGTCCGCCAGCTTCTTTTGGTTGAAGACGTAGGAGCCAAGGCGCTGCATGTCCATCTCGAGCGGCGGCATGAACGTGAGCATGCACCTAGTACTTGATACGTTGATACCGTAGGCATCTCTCAAGATGTCCACTTGACGAAAGTGGCGCAGTCGACAACGCCGAGAATCACATTGCCGCCCGTCTTGGTCGTCTTGCCGCGCTCGTAAACAAGGGCAACGTCGGTCTTGCGCAGTTGCAGCTGCTTGAGTGCAAGGAACGCGTGCAAGTCGTCGGGTAGCTCCAGCGCGGTTTGCGTCGTACATGGCAGCCGGCCAATGTCGCGAATCTGCCGCCGCCACAATAGTACAAGCAAGATGGAAGATGTGTCACAACCTTGGTGCGCCAGAGCGGTGCGTGCGGCGGGGGCACAGGCGCGTCGAGACCGTCACTGTCGTCGAACGACGGGTCGTAGACGCTGGGCTTACCGGTCTTGAGCTGCGCGTCGCGAAGGCCAGCGAAGAGCGTCTCGATTTCTTCAAAGCAGAGGCAAATCGCGGGGTGCGTCAGAGCAAACTCGGTGGCCTCTTTGATCGTCACGTGCTTGGAGTCGTCGTTGTTGTCGCGCAAAAGACTCTACGCGCATCGGTATTGGCCTCTTATGTCCGTCGTGATGTCGCATCGTAAGTACTTCGATGGCGCTGATCACTTCGGTCGACGGCGGCTCCGTCACGCGCAGCACCTTGGTGATCGCCGCCACGAAATCGCGGTACATGCCCACTTTAACGTGGCTCGCAATGTCTACACTCGCCGTGGCCGAATGCATGTAGCGCTCTAAACGTACACACGTCGCTGGGGTCGGCGAGGTACATGCGGCTGAGAAACGTGAGCTTCTCTTTGATGTCGACGGGCAGCGCGAGGCAGATGCCGATGAAGACTTCGACGGCGACAACGACGGGCGCGTCGCCGGCGTGCCCGTGCTCAAAGAGCTATTACACTAAACGCAACGTGCACTATCTCTGTCTCGCTACCTGAAAGTGCGGCTCGGCGTCTTGCACGACGATGCCAAAGACCTCATCGAATTGACTTGGCGTCAAGAAGCGCGCCAAGTGGACCTCGTCCCGGTAGATGCCCCAGCTCTCGTCGAGCGTCTTGAGGCTCTGGAGCACGTACTCGGAGACGAGGATCCGATGGATGTCGTCGCCAAGGCTGTGCGACGACGACGCGACGCCCATTTCCTTCGAATTCGATGGCTTCTTCGTATTAGGGACATCGAAGGTTTCCACTCTTTTCGACGATGGAGCGCCCGACGATCATGCTGGCGGCGCAGTTGACGCCCACGTGCTGCAACGACGACCAGACAGTCTGGTTCACCCTCGTCGGCATCTACATCGTGCTGCTGCTCAAGCTGTACGGGAACGTGGTCGAGGCGTCTCGCGCTCACTCGTGCGTAGGTGGTACGCACCGGTCGTCTATCCGTTCAAGCTCCTGTGTGGATTCTTCGTTCGTCTCTTCTTACACTCACGTTCGTTGTCCGTAGCGCCTACTTCACGCACGAGCTCCTTCGATGCATCGCGGTCGTTCTCTCCTGCGGCAAGGTCGTGCGCCATCTCAATCTGAAGCTGAACGTATTGTCTTGTAGCTTGAAGGCATGGCCATTCATCCCGAAGAAGGCTCCGAGACGCACTTTGAAGACGGGTCGCCGGGCTTTGTCCTTTGGATGGTTCAGAGATTGGCTGTGACGATTGTTGATCGATTCAATTACTGATGTTAGGGCTATCTCGGGACAATGGCGTGGGGACTGCTTCAAATGTGGGCCAGGTATAAATGGGCGCACCATTGGCTGCGTTGCACGTCAATTGCGTACTAGTCTCTACTACCTCCCGACGGTTGTCTGCACGAGCGTGACCCTCGGTCTTCTCGTGTGCTTCTTCCTCTGCGCCGACACGCGCTACCTCCGGCTGGTCATAGCGCTCTCGTTTACCGCTCTCGTGGCGCTGCTCGCGTACGCACTCAGCACCCACTCGGCCGATGTGTGACAGCTTGGTACTATGTCAAACGACTCAGCCTCAGCTAGGTGCTGCGCTTCGTCGTGCTGCTTTCCGGCGTCAACCACGCACTTTTCTTCTTCTTGGACGCCGCCGCCGACCTCCGCGTCCACCCCAGGTACGACGACATGCATTGTGTTCACTTGGGTGTTCTACAGTGGGCTCTAGCGACAGCTACCAGATGCTGACCGTCTACGGCGGCGTCGCCCTCGTCGTCGCTGGGCTCTTGCAAGCAGCCCTCTTCGCCTGCGCCGTCGCATGGAACCTCGCTGCCCTCGACGGTGCGATGCCGATTTCTCTCGACACGATGGCCTTGCCCACGCAAGTCGTCTGCGTCTGTTTTCTCGTTGCGCTCACCGTCGCCGTGG